AGAATTATCACTGAATTCCTTCCCTGAAACTATTGCAACACAGCAGCAGCCATGAGGTGACCACATTCACCACCTCCTGCACCTCAAAAATAATAAGACCTCCCTGGAAATAAGGCCAGGTGCTTATTTTGGGGGTCAAAAGAAAACAAACTCTTCAGGGAAACATGCCATTATATCCCAAGCAAAGCCATCCAGTTCTGTTTTGATTGCAAAGGTACCATTATACAATAGCCCAAACCATTCACATACATCTTCACAATTTTTTTAAAAAAATCTTCATAACATTTGATCAGATAACATGTTTTCTATGAGCCAAGTATAAGACCAGTATTTTCTGCAGTGGCGGTTAATTTTATGATTTTCTGGTATTAATGGAATGTAAATGTGAAGATGAAGTTGCCCGAGGCAAAATCAAAATCACTACTAAAGGGCTATTTGTTCATTTGCTGTTATTCAAATTCTGCATAACAACCATCCTGAAAAAAGGGCAATGAACAGAAAGAATTGTAAATAAAATGCAGGAAAATTTTGGATGAAATGAAGTAGCTCCTTCCTTCCCATAAAGTGTTTGTTGGCCATGACTGGGGAGGAAGGGAGAGTCCAGCTGAATGGGATTCTGGGATTCTGACTGTCTTTCTTCTACTGTTTTCATCCTCTGAGGCTATTGGTGGCAATGGTCGGGGAGAAGGAATTCAGTGATAATTCTTATTTACTTTCCTGCAGAAGGAATGGGCATGGAAAGATAAGGAGAACAGAGTTGCCTAATGGCTAATGGCATGATAGGTAAACAAGTATTTCCCATTTCTCCTTCAATGCATTAAATTACTGATGAAATTTTAGAGATTCAGCACTGGAAATGTGAAGTGCATCATTCTGTAGAGAGCCACAGAGATAACCTTGGAGAAACTATGCAGAAACAGTTTCAACAACATATATATCAACAAGTTTTGAACTTGGTAATCAAAGAATATTTGGAAGAAACTCAGGCAGGGTATAAGGAGGAAGGAAGGGGAAGTACAGTCAGGTTTCAAGATTGTTACTTTTTAAAAATTATTCTGTCATCAAGTTATCGCTGATTCTTAGAAACCACATAGGTTTACTGAAGGAGGATGTTCCCAACCTGAGTCATTAAATCTTCCAGTGTACCTACAGCTGCTGTAACTGAGTCCATCTACTTTAACAGATGAATAGAGTTGGAAGGGACCTTGTAGGTCATCTAGTCCAACCCCCCCCCCCCAAAGCAGGAGACTGCACCAGTTCAGACAAATGGCAGTTCAATCTCTTCTTGAAAGCCTCCAGCGATGAAACTCCCACAAGTTCCGAAGGCAACTTCTGTTCCATTGGTTGATTGAATGTTGCTGGTCCTTCTCTTCCTTTTCCTAACATTACAGTCTTCTCCAGAGAGTTGGGCCTTCACATAATGTGTCTGAAGTAGGATAATTTTGAGCCTGGTCATTTGTGCTTCGATTGAGAACTTTGGATTAATTTGTTCAATGACCCATCTGTTCGTCAGTGGTATTCTTAGGCATTCTCTCCAACAACAAGGTTCTAAAATATCAGTATTCTTTCTATCATGCTTCTTCAGAGTCCAATTTTCACATCCATAGGGCAGTCTTAATGCCATTTTCTGTTGTTCCTCCCTTGATGATTATATGGATAACATGATGGCCGTCCCCGTTGGTTCCTGTGGGCAACTATGCAGCTAGTGCGGGTACATCAGTGTTCCAAAAATGGATTTATTTATTTATTTGAGACATTAAAGCAGCAGTATCTTTTGCAAGATTAGGGAAGCTGCTTCAAAAGTTGTCCCTGTGTCACTGTGCATGGTTTTTTTTTTTGAATAGCTTGCAAAAGATACAGTTATGGTCATGAATCAAAAAGAGATGCTTTGAATGTTTCTGCACTGCAGAATACCTCCAAGATGGGTATAGATTTGGATAGCTTTGCTAATTACTAACATTAGTTTACTAATTGCTGCAGTTGTGGCCCTTCAGGTTTAATGCAGCAACTAACATTTAATTAGATGCTTGAAAATGAAGCTGATTTTGATATACTTTTGAAATTTCAGATATGGCAGTGTGGAGGCTCCCTGGAGATTGTAACGTGTTCACATGTTGGTCATGTTTTTCGAAAAGCTACTCCTTATACATTTCCTGGTGGTACTGGTCATGTAATTAACAAAAATAATAGAAGACTTGCAGAGGTGTGGATGGATGAATTTAAAGATTTCTTCTACATAATATCTCCAGGTAAGAAAATATTTCAGTATAGTTTTGTAAGAAATACGCACATACACACAAATCCACATACAATACATATGCATATACATGTAGGAATGTGTGTGTGTGTGTGTGTATGTATGTGTGTATGTATGTATGTGTGCATGCATGCATGCATGCATTTGGGTATATGTATGTATGTCTACCCCATATAGCATTATTGGTACTGAGATTTAATTTTTATTGCTTTGTCAGTTACAATCAATCCAAATGATTATGATGGAATTCATTTAAGTGGTACGATGTCTTCTATAATATTGCCATAACATTTAATTTATAATAAGGCAAAACTGAAAAAAAAAGGTTCCATGCTGATCAGCATACTTCATAATATCCAAAATGCATGATTTAACTCTGAGCTTTCAGAAAATAAAACGAAAAGAATAAAAGGCAAACAGCAGGGCTTAAAATTTAAGTTGGTGGAAAGTCTGTGATTAGGTTTCATATATATTCATATATTTTCCAGGTACATAATGTTTAGGGCTTATTCAGATCAAGTTTCAAATAAAACCACTGAGAAAGCCACTGCAGGAAAGATGGCTTATTATAAAAAATATCTTTCTTCAAATGAAATGGTTCATGACTGTAAGGCAGAGATGAGAGATTTGTGATCTTCCATATGTTACTAACATCAGCTCCCAACAGCCCCAGCAAGCACAGGTGCCCCACTGATGATGGAAGCAATTTATCAAAAAATTCAGCAGGTTAAATTATTTGTTTCCAAGACTGACACACTTGATTTGGATTCTATTGCATCCTTTTAGGCAACAATTATATGCATGCATATCTCAATAAACACCCTTGAATAGACTGACATTTAGCTCTGAGAAAGCAGGTATAGGAATGGCCTGTAAACAGTGAAGGTTGTTCTCCTCTGCAGGTGTATCTAGGGTTGTTGTAATAAAGATGTGATCATGGAGTGTGCCAAAGCTTCCTTTTTATTCCAAAGACCCTTTCCACAGAATGTGATAAGATTATGATGCTCTGGTTTTTAAGTTGCAGTAGTAATAATAATAATATCAAAGATAAAAACCTTTTCTTCAAATAGCCTTAAGCAATAGGGAAACAGACGTAGAAAATGGGGGCATTTCTATCCAGTTCTGCTTTGTAAGTTGCCTATTAGTTTTGTTTTAAAAAATATTATGGATTTAGTAACCTTCTAATGGATAAAGTTATCTTAAAGGTTAGAATGTGTACTTTAAAAAAAATCTTAGTACTTAGTACTTTATTATACTTAGTGTTAAACAATTAATAAATATGCGTAGGACTCCAGTTTCATACATAAATGGCATTTTTGAAAATTGAGAACTTGTATTTTTGATCAAGAATAAAATAGCGATGCTTTCCTGAAATCTGGTTTTGTAGTATCAACATCTTTAGTACTTTTATAACAAGGGAGAGTTGGTACCAAATAGAATATGTTGGGTGCTTCATGATGCATATTGCTGGTGACAGTTCATGATCTAATGGTCAATGTCACATGAAGACTCGGTAAACAATAACTGACTAAAACATTGTAACAAGGCAAAAATGCCTTTCAGGAAGATAGTGGATTTAATTAAATTTTCTGACATGGATGCAGTTAGAAGATTTGGAAATGTTTACCTCAGACTTTGGACATTTCTCATCTGAGGTCTGATGATTTGACTTTCGTAACGTTTGGGTTCTTTTTCCCCTTTATTCCTTGATTTACTGTTTGCTATTATGGCCACACCATTAGGTAGCATGTACTAACGTGTTTTCAGGTAACAGATTTAGAACACAGTTAAAAGTAGGTAAGTCATTAGGCTATTAATTTATACCTTTATAAATACCTGCCTTTTCTGTATCCAGTGTCAAAATGTGAAGACTGTTTGGATCTTGATTCCTAATCGATTTACTCTTGTTCATAGCCTGTTTCTTTGAACCTTTGCTTCATTTTTAAATGAAGTTTTTTGTAGTAAATTAATCTTTCAATTTGCTATTAATTGTACATCAAAAAAGTGGTGTCAGCTAATAACTCTGAATGTTGCATAATGCAAAGGTTTATAGTTGTTATAATTGCTTTGTGGTGATTTTCTATTGTGATTATATTTTTAATTATGGTTGGTAGAGAGAACTGTCTTTTTTTTAAAGGAAGTATAATTATTATAATTAATTATATCCTGTTTTATCAAGTAGGCTTGCCCTCAAGTAAAATTGAGTTGATTATATTAGGGCTTGCTCAACATATGTTATACCTCATTGGATACACTGGGGTTTATTTTGAAATGAATATATAGAATTGCACTGTGAATTCTATCCCTGTTCCTAAATATAGAATTTTTTTGTCTTTGTATGAACAAGTCTTTTATTAAAACACTCGCAGCCAGTGGAATTGTATGCAGAAATCAATTATAAAGGGAGGGAGCAATTTATTCAGTATACATTTTAATTTGGACATAATTAATTTTAATGCTATATAATTTTAATTTGGAACTGCAGTTTACAAATCCAAATATTGAATGTGATATTTAATGCAAAAATACTTTTAATTTTCCTTTGGAACACCAAAATACTTACAAAAGTGCCTATATATAGCTTAAGAAGCACAAACTGCATTATATGAGAGAAATAGCTTTCAAATAATTCATTTCTTGGAAAACATTCATACAAATTGCATATATTGCAAGAATATATTATCTATATTTTTGAGTTGCAGGTAGGGCACATGCACGGGGTTGGGGAGTGCTCCCCGTTTTTGGTACCAAGAGGCTTCAGGGATGCCTGCTAGGCTCAAAATGGGGTGCAGGGGGAATCACACGCATGCGCAGATGGGCAGGGTGTGTGGTGTGTATGTCATCTGTGCATTGCATTATGGGTGTGAGCACACGCTGTTGCACGCACATGTGCTTTCGGCACGTGACAACAAAAAGGTTAGCCATCACTGCTCTATATCTTTGAATGGAGGTATTCCTAGACTTACGACCATTCATTGAGGGATCGTTCAAAGTTAGAATGGCACTGAAAAATGTGACTTACGATCGTTTTTCACACTTATGACCATTGCAACATCCCTGTAGTCACATGATCAAAATTCAGGCATTGGCATGTATTTATGACAGTTACAGTATCCCAGGGTCCTGTCATCATCTTTTGCGAACTTCTGACAAGTAAAATCAGTGGGGAAGCAAACAGAAATTTTGGGCACAATTGTGGTCGTCGGTCGAGGAAACATTGTAGGTGCCCAGCAAACGAAGCATAAACAATGAAAAATATCTTTGATTCGTGGCAAATTAATAAACACCTATAAAAATAATAGACACACTTGTTCTGACCTCGGCTTCTTGAGACAGTAAAAAGTACATGCTTAGTCCCCAAAACTCTATTTTTATATCAATGGTTATGAATTATGTTCATTCACAGCCCGTAATGAGTCACAAATAGTTTGTAAAGAGTCCGACAGAAGTCTGCCAAAGTCTTTCGGGATAAGGCTGATAAGCACCCATCTTTATCTCCCTTGAAACGCTGCCAAAGACCTAATTGGCAATTAGCTTTGCAAGGCCACATGGAGCAAAGTCAAAATGGAACTTTAGACTTTAAACTAACCAGAGCGAACAAAGTTGTTTCCTGCAAAGGCTCATGTGCCTTTGCTCCTCTTTTATGTCTTATGAGAGGGGCCAATCATCACCAAGTCTTACTCCCAAGTTGCCCTTTGTGTCTTAACTGTTCTTGCCTTCTGGCAGCTCTGTGCATGCACGCACTGGGAACAGGCTCCTCCTGTTTTTCTGACTCATTGGTGTCCAATCCTGGAGGCTTCGGAGGCAGCACATAATTCCCAGATGCCCTAGCCCTCTCTTTGCCTCTGATGCAGAGCCCTTGTCCGAGCCTTCCCCATATTCCAGGACTCCTCCCCAATCGCCTCACTGTGCGACTCTGCTGCCACCTCCGCAGGCTGCCAGCAGACCACAACACTATAGTAATGTTTGGATCTGAAATAAAGTAATGGGAATGAACAGCTAGGTATATGTTGTAAACTTCATCAAAGTCTGGGAGATTGAGCTTTTTATTAAATTACATAGGGCTTGTGCTCTCCAAATACAATATAGCTATATTAGAAGACACTATTATTGTGTGATTGTCTTCTCTTTTCCTCTTGCCCTGTGGCTACTCAACAGCGATTATATATGACTATAGCAGTATAGGGAAGTAGGAGGACGGAGGTCGCTGCCCTCTACAGCTTAATTTTGTCAGTAAAATGGCTTCCAATTAAATTTATTTGATTTATGTCCCACCCATCTCATCTAGAGGGACTCTGGGCAGCTTACAAACATTAAGTTTCTAAAATTTGGAAGTGAGAAAACAATTTGAATTTAAGATACTTAGAACTGAAATGCTGCATCCCATACAAAATAAGGTGTCCCAAGGCCATTTTATCCGTTCAGAAGTTTTCTAAGCAGCACAAGGCAGCCAAGTTTGCAAGTTAGAACACTTGAAGAAAGGTTAGGATTGCATTAGCAATCTTTGGGCAAAATTAAAATACCATTTTAAATTTGAAAGAAAGCTTTCTGAGCTTGAAACTAGATTTTTCTTCCAAATGGCTCAAATTCAAAAGGTTTCACACACTGTTTATATTCTAGCCAATGTTTCCCTACTTGTACATCATAGCAAACTATGGTCAGTGTAAAACAACCAGATGGAGCATTGAAGCTGTGATCCCAAAAGAGTAGAAGATCAAATTCTGTAGTTTTTCCTCATAAACACTGAAAATGATGCCTGTATTGATTATCTCTTTTATTTTGTTAAGTTTCTCTCTCGCTCTCTCTTTTTCCTGGCCAGCAATTTATCAGTTATTGGGGGTGGGGGTGGGGAATAAGTTGCAATTTTTCAAAATTTTATTTTGGTAGCTGTTTACACTTTGGAGCCAGCTGCTTTTCATAAATCTAGTAAATATATATATGAAAATGTAGCTTTCTGGCTCTTTATAAAACACTCAAAGGGACACACTCTTG